CGTTTGAAAACGACGCAGCCGAGGATATCGAAAATCCTTCTGGATTCGACGTGGAAATGAACAAACGAATAGAAAAGAATAATTGGTACGAGAAAGATTCGTTCATCCCCTTTTACGACTCTTTAAGCCCTCAGAGAGCTCGGCTCTGCGTTTATTTTAATTTATCGCTCGAATCCAAAGAAATTTTTCCATTGCCACGTCGCGTTCTCTCTGTACAAACTCGCGTGTGTATGTGTCATACGTGTTTTATATATCGTATATTATTATATTTATATTTATTTCCTCCCATTCTTCGACAAAAATTTCACGTTACAAAAACTTTATTTACCATCGAGATAATCCCTAACGATCTATTTTTAGGTAACTGAGAAAGTTCTGTTGTTCTTTTGTGAAAGAGAAGAAAGAATGCAAGAAAAAATGTGGAGGAAAAAGATTAAGATAATTTCATTATTTTCAATGTAACATAATTATTAATTCGTACAAATTTTTAAATGAAGAGGAAATACTTTTTTTTTTAAAATCATTAAATATAAATATATTAATAAAAATCCATAAATTGAGAATATATTTATATCTACAAACAAATAAGAAATAAAAATGATCTTGTAGAGATTTTTTCATTTTTCAAATTTTATAATTTTTATTAGAAGAAATCGAATCGAGAAAAGAATGACAGAACTTTTTTGGATACCCAACATTTTATAATCAATATTTTTATCATCATACATTCACTATGCAATTACGCACTTATGGTTTCTTTATGGAACTTAAACATTTAAAAGAGCTTTCTTTTTTTTTTTTTATTTTAAATTATAACAAAATTCTAAATTCGTTTCTTTCTATAATTCATTTTCTTCTTTATTAAATTGTTTGCTGTTGATTAATCGTTAGAGCTTCTCAAGTGACTGTAAAAAATATCGATAATAGAATTAGCAATTAGCATTAATTACTTAAGATATATTACAAGCTATTAGGACTGATCTAACGATATGATAACAGAAACAACAATTAAAACGATTATAAAACGTTTTTTTGGATTAATATGGTTGAGTCTGAGTCTTATTTCATTCGATCTTGTTATCTATATATCTATACATATATAGATGATTATCAAGTAGTCTTTGATAATTGACGATTAAAAGACTATTTTGACAATCAACAGGTGAATTCGTTCGTTCGTAATCTTTGATGAATTTCTTTTTCTTTTTTGTGTAAGAAACATTTATTTAATATTATTTTATATATTATTGAATTTGTTCTGTTATATTGACATAATTTAAAGTATTACATTATTTCTTTACATTTTATTTTTTTTGTTTTGTTTTTTTGAACATATCATTGTCATATCAATCATTTGTTGAAACGAAATATCAAGATAAATGAATCAAAGCAAAAACGAATAAAATAGAAAATTCAATTCAATTCAAATATTTATATGGCTTCCATATTTTTTTTTTGTATTTAGATCAAACTATTTTTCCATTATTTTAATTTAAAAAAAAAAAGATTAATAATTTCGAAATTTATTAATCAACAAATAAAATGATTTCGATATTTTAAGAAATAAAAATCTATACGATATTTCAATCGATATAAAATATATTCAGTAATAATAAAATTTCATTGTTACTTAATAAATTCACAATTTAAGAGCACATTCAAATATTATTTTTCTTGTTTCATAAATGTATCACATAGAGCTTACTAAATAATGAAATATTCATAAAAACAATTATACAAATTTTTTTCACAATAAAATTGAATTCAACCGAATTCGCGATAACCTTATTATTTTTCAACAAAATATATATGTATATATAAATTCAAGAAATAAAATAAAGAAATCGTACTAACATTAAAGTATCTTCTGAATTTCAACCGAGGCGTTAATGCCCGCATTGTTTTCCTCCCTCTTCGCGAACTGTTCTTTTCTCTCCACAATTCAGACATCGAGATCGAGTTATTTCACCGGGGAACAATCAAACAAACTCTTTGTACCACAAAGACACTTGGCGCGGTTTTGCAAGAAGCGTGGTCGGACGTTTCCAAAGGCTTCCGCAATAAAATTCACAATCCACGCTGTTGATATGCATGTCGCTGTAAAACAGTCCCCTTCTTTCCCTTCTTCGACTCTTCCTCTAATTTTCTTCGCCGTATTATAAAGAAGCGGAAAAGTCTTCGGTATTTGCGCGAGGATATTTTTTATTTCTCTCAGAAGAAATAGGGGAGAGAAAAGTCTGATTTTCTTCCTCATTTCTCGGCTTCTCCCGCGGAAGCTTTGAATAATTTAGATCAGTGACTCTCAATCCTTTCACAAATGTGTAGAATTAAAAAAAAAAAAGAGAAATTAAATTTTATATCCATGGAATTGGTATATACTACCGATTTACAAAATTTAGAATGTGGAATTTAATTAAAAATGAGAGAAGACAGAATTTAAGTATTAAGATATTACTCGTTTCCGAATCTAAACTTCGTTTAGATTCCCTTAGATTTATTTAAAATCGAAGAAACATTTAGATCTTATCGTCAAGTTCAACGTCGTAATTAATCTTATCTTCTAAATCAATAATTTTCAAATTATATCATCTCCACTTAAAGAGATCGAACAAAAATATACTCTCCACTTCGTCGTATCGTTCATTTTATCAAGATCCCCTTTAAACAATTTTATTTTTACTTTTATCTCACGTCCTCGCGAATTCCTTTTCTCAATTTGTAAAATATTTTACCTCTCTAAAATAAAAAAAGAATAAAACACGATCATTGTACCTCGCAGTCGTTAAACTCGTTCCCGCGTTCCTTTCAAGTTTTCCTCGGATTTCGACAAGAATTCGCATTACTCCATCATGCATCTAGAACCGGATAATGCACGTCTCATTCAAGGAACACACAACGAAGCGTAAAATTCGATACGGCGCAGTATCCACGAGTTTCCACCCCCGCGAAAACTATCGTGGAACGTTGTAATATCAGAATTTCTTTTCGCAGAGACTGGAGGCATCTCCGCGAGAGAAAGAGGGGGGGGGGAGAAAGAGAAAGAGAGAGAGAAAGAGAGACAGAGAATCTCTTGTCAATATTGGCCTGCGTTACGAAATAATGCTAGAGTTTCCTTTGTTGGAGATGAAAGCTTCATAGCTGGACAAAAGGGAACGAAACGCGTGTCCCAGGCATCGGCATTCTTTCTCCCTCTTTGCTTGTTTTCACGTCGTTGAGTTATACATTTGTAGAGCGTATTGTGAAAAATCAAACGCGGTTGATTAAATTTTTAATCGTGATATTCGTCGTATGATGTTTCGAAACATATATATAAATATCTATTGTTATAAACTATTGCATGGTAAAAATGTAACACGTATCTTTCTTAAATTCTTCAAGATTATTTCAAATTTTGATAAAGACAAGTGAAAAAATAATTCTAGTATCATTACGCCATTACTAAAACTTTGCACACTCTAAAGATAGCAGAAACACATTCATCTCCTTAAAAATGCGCTTTATTTCAAATCGATATCTCACCTGGTTCCCTAAATACAAAGCTTCAAAGGACATAGATGACGGCCGAAATACGAGCGAGCCAAGTGACCTATATTTTTTTCTTGGAATCGAGCGCACGCGTGGTTGGAGATAGCGAAAGGACATTGACAGATGTTTGTCAATGACCAACGCACGCGTCGCGATCTTGGGATAGGTCAGTGAGAAGGCGTGAGTGAGAGAGGGGAGGATGAAACGGTAAAAATATCAGAAATTACGCTTCGGTTCGGAACGAGGATATCTCTGAAACGGAAAGTCTTATCGATATGAAACGGAAAGCATCTTAAAGAGGAGGCTTTCTCGTCTCTCGTGAAGTTTGTTTTATGGAGGAAAAGTTAGTACTTTTGAAGTACTCGTCGTGGAAAGATAATCAAGGATACTTTGTGATTTGTGGAACATTATTTTAGTTTTTATTTTATGTACGCTTGTATTGTAATTATTTTAAAAATGGAAGAAAACGAGAATCGATTGGTGAAATTAATTCTATTGTATGTGACATTTCTTGATAAAATTAATGATAGTGGCAGTAAGAGGTCACAATTTATATATTCGTGACAACAATTCTATAATAATTCTATAATAAGTTATATAAGTTATTAAAAAAAGTAAGTAAAAATTTAGAAAATTTTATAAAGAGATATAGGTGTAAGTGAAGGAATATAAAAACAGCAAATATGGTTTTCAAAAAAGTTATTCTACAAGATTTCTTAAAAATTAACGAGTTAAAAAATTTTTAATACATGCTTATCTGTATGGATTGATATACATTCTATTTATTTTATTTATATTATTATATTAAGTGTACTGTGTGAACACAATATAATTATTAACGAGTTTCTTTAAAAATATTCTTATTAAAAATTATTTAAAAAAATCAAATTTAATTTATATATATATTTTTTTATATTTATTTATTACTTTACATAAAAAGTTTAAATAACCCTCATCATTTTATAAGAAAACAGTAGTAAGAATAAAATATGTTTAAAAAATTGAATACTTACATATGTCGCATATTTTCATGAATTTTCAAGTAGAAAAACCTAGATAAAAATTTTAGGATAAAATGAGATGTTCAGCGGAAAAGTAAATGGATTTTCTCAAACAGAAAATAGATCCAGGATTCTTATTTGTCCAGAAAATTTTATTTTAAATTTCCAAATAAAATAATAATAGTATCTGGTATTAAAATATTTCAATACTAAAAAAAAAAAAAAAGTATATTTTTTCATTCGACTTAATTCAACTTCATTCATACTTAATTGAAACGAGTAATTAATTAATCTATCTATAAAAAAAATAACAAAATAAAAATTATTATCCATAAAACTTTTCCTCCGAGCAATCCCTTCGAGTAATCAAATCCATCAAAATTTTCTTCAAGAACGAAAATCGATAGATATAATCGCATAAAATTCGCACAGATATTAAAAAATCGACATCAAAACTTTATTTATCACGAACGAACGAACTCTTTCGTTACACGAACGATCGCTCTCGTATGTAACAATTACAATATACATAATCGTCCCTACTAAGTTGCAAACTTACACATCGAATTTATTCGAGCACACGTCTCACGCTCTTACATTTTCATTTATTTTTTTTTCTCGTTCATTGTTGAATCGTCATTTACAACATCATACGTCATGTACAATCGTTTACTTCGATACTTCATTTTTCTTTTCCTTACTTTGACGACACTAGAACGCAGTGGTAATTTGCAAGTTATTAAACATATCGAACCTGGGATACTACGACGACGTTTTCGACAAAGTTCTCTCCTATGAGATTCACTGAAAATCGTGATTTTCACGCGATGAACCAGCAGCTAATAAGAGTTCCTTCATCGATGTTTCTTCCTTTCACTGAGAACTGAATTTTCTTTTTTAAACGAACTCATTGAATGATATATTATCGTTGAAAAGTTTCGTATCGATTGTGGATCGATCTTTTTTTCCCCATTTCGATGAATTGATGTAATCGAAAAGATTGAAAGAACTTTCTTTCGATGAAATATCACTTTTAATTTATTGAATAAAATTTTAATTTTTGTAATGTCGTGAATTTGGTTAAAAGTTGAGTATAGAAAAGTGAATGTAGTTAGTGAAATTGATGATTCAGTTATGCCTTTGACGGGAAGTTGAGCAATTTTGAGATTGGAAAGAGCTATCGTCAGTGAATATTGTATATGTAATATATTAATCCTTAAAATAATATTAATAATTTTATAAATATTTAAAAGATATTTCGTATAAACTTTTTTTTTGTATATCGTGTATATCATAAAACATATTAATTAAACTAATAATCACAATTTATTATCTCAGACTTAATAAACACGAAATAAAAATAAAAATATCTCACCAATCAGCCTTCCATTCCCAATTATCGATCGATTATGTCGGTCAGAAGAAAGCTTCTTCATCGATGATCGTTCCGGTCGCATGCTCGGTCGGTAATTTAATTTCGATCAAGGTACAAACAGGGTTTTATAGGAGGGTGGCTACGTCTTATTGTGTCCAACGATCCATCGAGTTTTTCTTATTTTTCTTTTTTTTTTTATTCACTTAATGCTCGCGTTTAAGATCCATTCATGGTCGCGTTTAATTCGCACGTGCACAATACATACAAGCTCGCACACATGCAAGTACCACGGTCGAGAGTACATGCGCATAGTATACACGCATACAGACAGGTTGGAACACACTCACGAGAGACACACGTACGAGAACACACATTATCTCAATTGACCCAAAAAGAAGGCGAGCATTACGAGGACTGTCTTCGATGTTGGCGAGCCTGCTGCCGTGTTCCCGTGCTGCATTGCAGCTGGATGCTCTCCTGGAACAAGAACAACGAGGGTTGGATTAGTGTCTGCCCTGCACTTCCGGTTCCAACCGGAACACTTCGTTTTTTTTTTCCATGCCTCGCGCCAAAAGGGGACAAAGGGAGATAGTTTTGCTTGTTTTTTCTACGTTACCTTTTTTTTTTCGTTTTCATGTTTTTTTGTTTCTCTATATATTCTTGCTCTTTAAAATTTTTTTTATTTTCCTTCTATTTTAGAGCTTTGAACGTCATATGTATTATATTTGCTATAAATAAACATATATAGGCAAAAATTCAATACAAAAATTATCATAAAGTTAAAAGATAAATGGATCAATGTGGTCAAAGTCATTTTTATTTTTGCTGAAAATAATTTTATAATAAATTTTCGATTCATTGATTTTTGTGTCTGTATTATTTGGAAATAGTATTTCACTTGATTTTTATCATAAGTATTATATTTCGATCTAATTAATTAGTATTTAAGGATAATTACTTTCCATAGTTACTTTATTTATCTGTTTAAAGTTCTAAATTTGAATTTTGAAAAAATAGAATTGTATTTTCTTATTATATTATCAAATAAACATTTTATTATTCAAATAAAAACAAAATAATCACACTCATTAAATAGATCGTACTTTTAGTTATAAGAAACCTAGGAGGTATTGCGCAAAAAGACTTTCTGTGTGCTTTAAATGGTCTCGAGAGTCGTAAACTCATGAAACATAAACAGCTTGCTTCTGGCTTAAATGGACAAAGTTTCGAAGAGCGTGGAGATACTTAAAATGAGAACAAAATTCACGGGGATATAAAGTCACAGTGGCTTAATTTCTGAAATATTGTCCTGTAGTTTTAAACTACGTTAGGTCAATCGCAATTTTACGAACTTATATCTTCTTCAATTTTTATTTTGTCTTCGAATATTTGAAAAATAAAAAAATAAAAGTAATAAAAAAAAGAAATAAATAAGTATAATAAGCGTATTTGGACGATAGTAAGTTAATAGTCACGTGGCGCTAGCATCACATAAATCAATTACTACTTTCACACGTAAATAATAAATTCTTTTGTATCTTATTACTCTTATTATTGATATTTTTTTATTAATTAATTATATTTTTTATATTCTTTATATTCTTAAATGATTTCTCGTTAATTACATATAAACTGAGAGTGATATTCATTGAGGGGATAAACTAGAGAATTAATGCTATTGGCTACAGAACCATAATATGTACCAGATTAGATGTCCATTTCGTTTAGGCAATTGCATAATAATTACAACTAGCAGATTTCACTGTGCTATAAATGAATTAAGCAATAATTCAATTATTTGATCATAATTTCGATTATTAAAAATATTATTTATTTTTTTTTTATTTGCTCTCATGCAGTTTACATTTTTCACTATACTTAATATACAGTAACTTTTTCAATTTTTTTTTAATATCATTATCTTTAAATTATTTTATAAAATGTTTAATTAAAAGTGAAGTGTTCGATACATAAATCTCACCTGTCTATCAATAGGTTAATTTCTAATATGTCATTAGCATTGTAATTAATTTACACATATTTCAATTATTATTGTGTTACTGCATGTATAGAATAATTCAAAATCAAATAATAAATAGTATGAGATTATTTATTGGAGCATAACAAATTAACAAAAGAAAATATTCATATATAATTTTAAATATAAATTAAAAAATTATATACATTTATTATGGTTAAATTTCTTTTAATGTTTAATTTATTTTTTTCATATTTTTTTTTTTATATTTATATAAATTCTTGGAAGATAGAACGATAATATTCCAAGAAGTTATCATAACGAATTTTAAAATGTGTATGACCCTGATTACCATTTCCATCTTCTACGTTTTCAGTCTCGCTATATTTCTTCCAAGAAGTGCACTTTCAAGCTGAATTTCGGTTCACACTCGGAATGATACTATTTTTCCTAGAGTTTGGCCGTTTGTGACACGTTCCAGTTTTGAGTTTAAAGATTTCTGCCTTATCCTTGACGATACTTATCTTTCCAGACTTTTAACCAATTTATTTTCCTTGTTCTTAATAGCAGGGAAATATATCTCTTCAATTTTATTGCTTCTGATATTAAAATTTATGCATGCACACATAAAACAAACTTCTTCGAAAATAATAAATAATATATTCCTAAATTATGAATGTTTCTTTAGCGAAGAAATATTAATTATGAAATAATGATACAAAATGCAAAGAAAAGCTAGCTAGCTAAAAAAGTTATAGTAATTTACAATGAATGATTGAAAGAAAGAAAATTTATTATTGATAAAATATATTTTCTAATAAGTAATTGAAATCAATTATGATTTGAATTTGAAATAATTGCTCATTAATGATCCCTTTCTTTTTGTAAATAAAAGTTACAATCAAACAGGTGTTCACAACTTATAAACAAAAATTTACAATGTATTAAAATTAGAATTGCCAAATCAATCAATTATTCGCTCTTATTATTATTTTTTATTTAGACATTAATATAATTACAAAAAATACTTCTCTAATCTCAAACATTAACAGAAAAAAAAAAAAAAATCTCCAAACATCAAAATATTTCTCATGGTTTTACACCATCTCACGGAAAAATTCTTCGATTTCACACGACATATTCTGGATAAAACGCAGAACGATGTCATGTCCATCGGTATCCAACGTCTGGCAGATGAATTCGATCCGATTTCCGGTTGCTCTAATGGACGCCAAAAACCTCTCTGACCCCTCTCATCACTGATAATAGAATATTTAATCATTCCGGGAGGCAGGTGAAATCGTGTCGAAGCTACGTGAGCCTCGTACCGAATGCTTTTAATTATCGACGTTAACTAATTATATTTCGAACGGGTCGCGCGCGGTCCGGTAACGATCCACATTCCCGGCACGAGTATTCCGGCTGGAAGCGTCGAATTACTCGTATGATGTCTGCCCGACGCAATTCCATAATTGACCGTCTAATCGATGCTCTAATTCCTGTTCCGTCATGACGGTTTAAAGGGCCCCCCCTTCGCCCCCTGTCGACCCACACAATTGACGGCCACCAAACTCTGATTAACGTTCCCGCGTCTTAATTCTTAATTAAGAGGGGAAAGGGATTTACACCTCGATTTGACGAGATGATGACGACGGAATATAGGTTATGACACAGACAGTTTTTGGGTAAAAAAGAAAAAAGGAAGGATCGATGAATTGAAATTCCCTTTGATGGGGAAGAGAATAAAATTGTGGCGAATATAAAATTCTCACTGCGAAGGGAAAATGGCGCGGTTAGAGTAATAAAATTCCCTCTGTGTATGAAAAAGGTGGCAGCATATAGTTAATTATGGTTAGTATTAATGAATTGGAATTGAAGTGGTCAGAGAAATTGGGAGGAAATTGGGAGGAAGGAGTGTAATCAATATGAAATAAAATATTCTTTGTGAATGGAAAGGAATAGTGTCGGATCAATGAAATGGTATGTGCAGGAAAAGTGAGAGAAAGATGTTTGCATAGTTGGGAAATTAAAGTTTTCTCTGTGGGAAGAAGAGTGGAAGGAAACAGAATAGTGGACTATTAATAATTTTCTTTGTAGAAAAAGAGTGGAAAGAAATAGTGCGGTTAATGAACTAAAATTCTCTTTGTGGAAGGAATGAAATAGAAGAAAATAATATGATTAATAAGTTAAAATTCCTATTTTGAAACGAGTGAGACACACAAGATACACAAGTTAAGTTTTATTTTATCACAGAAGAAGAGTAAATGATTAAAATTGTATTGTCCTTTCTGAATTTAATATTATATAATAATATTAATTATTAAAAGTCTATATTGAAACGTAAAAGTAAGCATTTAAAGCATCGTAATAATTATAATAATTAATATATTAAACTCCTGTAATTGTAATATGATTTAACGAGCAAGTTTAACACAGGAGTAAAATAAAATATTGATTAAAGATAAATCAATGGGTAATTTCCTCCTTTACATTTTTTTTTCATCCCAGTCAGAGGAATTTTTAATTAAATTTAATATTTATCTTTCAGACAGGAGATTATTTTTTGTATCTACAATCGCACACACTTTAAACAGTCAGAAAAAAACAGAAATATATTACTATGAATTTAAATATCTACGTAGTTTCAATTGAATATCTGTTGGTTTTTGACGAATAGCAACGAAAATATTCTATTTTAATATCGTAAAATGATATGTTTAAAAGTTTTCGAAGCAAGTTTTTGAAGTTTTAGAAGATATCAGGATACAAACTTTCATCTGAATTTCAAATATCAAATTTCGAAGCTCTAGTTTTCAAGCTTTGAAATTTCAAAATATCAAAACTTCCAAGTTTCTCTCAAGATTTCGAAGATGTTTTAAATTTTTAACATTTCGAAGCTTCGAAAATTAATCGTTCGCAAATTAAGTAATTAACATCATGATTTATGAACTTTTTGTTCAAGTTTCTAATTTTCATTCAATTGAGAGAAGTTTTCAATTTTTCTCAAGAAATTTAAAATTTTCAATTGATAATCGCAAAACTTTTATCCACCAAATATATATATATATATATTTATATACATAAAACATTAAAAAATATTTCCCAATATGGAAATTCATCCAAGCATAACAGCGGAAAAAGTTTAATCCCTAAACACACCCCGTTACACAAACCGTCCTTTTTCAAAGAATCAAAAACTCGTGAAAACTCTATTTAGAACCGTGTTTAGCCCCGACTCGGTAGCGCGATATTTTCGTTGCAAATTACCAGGTAAGGGGATGGAGCTTGTTACGGAACACTGGGAAAGCTCGTCACGAGGCCGGCCACGTCACGTAAATCGTATTGCGCGTGATGTGCAACTGCAAGTAAGGTGTATGACGGGTTGAAATTAGTAGCGAAAGCAAGCCTCGGCTTTGCGCCGAAAATACATGGCAATTTTATTTCGTTTCGCCATGGAAAACGGGCAGGAAAAAAAGGAGAGGGGGAGGGGAGGAAGGGC